CAAAAGCCCATGCAAAGATTAAACCCTGGATCTTCAGTGACCTTCCAAAGTTAATAAATTATTCAAGATAAAAAATAAAAAAGAATATCAGGTTTGTGATAATGCCTGAGTACTCTGGTACAAATTTCCATTGTTGATAAACAAATACTACACCCTTTATCCAAAGATTCAAACAGATTGAGATTTTGACATTACTGGTCATGACCACTGTACTGTCACTGATAGCATATTAATTACATGTCAGATTATGAGTTAACATAGTAATGTGAACAAGGCAAAGAGCCTTAGCAATTCTGGACATTAAACAGAGAATCAGTCTACAGGCTTAAAGTAATCAGACGAAGTCTGCATTAAGAACATGTTTTCCCTTTAGCCAATAACCATTAGATATTCATTTTTGAGTGTTCATTTAGAAAACTGGTATATAATATCTGAATAGCACTGGTGTAATCAATCATTATTCTACATTTATTTATGTTTTATATATGGATTGTTAATTTAGTAGGTCTGACTTCCTTCTTTGATGCAAGTAAACTCAGTGTTATGCCATTTTCAATAGGGTTCATCCGTGGGTGATAATAAACAATTTCACCAAGTTCGGTCAAAAATGGACAGACGAACATGATCATGCCAATATCTCATGTGGGCGTAGAAAAATAATAAAATAATACTACAATAGTGATCTACATTACTATACCAATTGTTATACAACATCAAACAAAATTGATTAAGCACAAAAAAAAACTCACACAAACCCACACAGCAACATATTATAAAGACAGCTATAAAGCCACTCTAATCCTTATCAATATGCATTTTCTAATGGGGTAATATAATTACATTAAAAAAAATGAATATCTCTCTATTGCATTGCCTGTTGATATAAGAAGTCAATAAAAAAAATATTGTGAAAATCAAACTCTTTTGAGATTTCCTCCATAAGCTTCTAAAAAGAAAAGTCTCTTACCTGTTCACAAGCCAAAATTCAATAGGTCTTATCAGGTATCAGTTTGTCCAAATCAAATCAAAAGTATTGACAAGCAGTTGTTGATAGACAAACAACCAGAGTGACAAGCAAGGTGAGCATATAAAAACCATGGTATTTTGTTCAATTTCAATATTTACACCTACCAATTAACTTACTAACTAAATGCAACAATTTTCTTAGATCTAATATCAGCACAATTGAAAATCTTCATCACCTTGGGATAATCTACAGCAAGACCTAATCTAGCTGGCAAACACTGACATCATATACTTCAGTGTAATTTTTCCTGATTCCATTAAGAACCAGTCCTGTCATTTCAACATTAGCACAAATGCCCGTAATATTTACATTAGGTAATCAATGTCTTTGTTTTAATGTCATACAAATATGTGACTTCATTTCAAACATATAATGCATTTAAAGGGATAAATGCACCATGATTTTGACCAATCGTACCTTAATCTCAGAAATCTCGAAATTGGAGCCTTCGAATCGATGTGTATCCAGATTTATCAACTTTTGAAAGTTAAAAGGAAATAATAAATGAAACACTGATAGTTTGAGATATTTTAGAAATAATTATGGGAGTTTTGTATATTTCTAGTACTTCTGACCTAAATCTATCCCTGAAAATGGCGCATGTGTCCCTTTAACACAAATATTACATAAGCTAAAAAACAAAACAAAACAAAAAGTGAAATAAGAAGGAAAGAAAATAAATCTTAAATAAAATTGTGATTACTAATATTTGCAACTGAGGCTAAAATTACATATTGGGACAGGAATGTTTTACATGCACAATAAAATGTTTTTGGTGTTCTATTGAAGTAAAACAACAAGAAAACATAATACAGGACATATACCTGTTTCATTTGAATTCCAAACATTCTCTTCCCGGCAATGGCAAACTGAAAAAATGTTGAATGGTAAATGTGTTGAAATCTCTTTCATTCAATTCTAAAGTATTGTAGCAATAACACATTCAGATGTATGCATAGAACTGGTCTCTTGATTACATAGTGACTTGTGGGAGCGATATGACAGCTTCATGGGGTTTGCTACCACATTATATTGGTCTTTGTTTTCAAAAACAGGTTCTACATGACATCCATTCAATTGGTTAAAATAATAGGAACAGGACGCCGGTATAAAAATTGTTAGATTACAATGGAGATGAAATAATTAACAGAAAACAAAATTGGTATCTTATTTTAATTACATTGCTAATTCCTCTGACAGCTCGTACATTGTGTACATGTCCATCAACTAAGTTTATGATATGGAAGCTAGGTCAGGAGCGTAGTTTCACTTCAACAGTTTTGTTTAATTTAACCAAACACGCATCAGCTAGTCATATGAATTACTTCTAAAACTGTAGCTTTACGAGTTTTCTTCAGCAAAGAGAAATGAATCTTCAGGTCATTGCTCCATGAAGACATATGGTAATTATGGTATGAGTATTTGACTTTAACCAAAAACTTTCCGCTTTCAAATTTACAAATTTTCTTTTCCTACAGGAATTTAAATCAATTCAAAGTAGTGGAAAATTTTAACTTGAGCATTGTTCACATTAATTACTAGATTATAATTCTTTTCTAGATGTTATTACTTAATCTACAATCTCTTTGTATTTAATCTTGGTCTGTTTAATTCAATCATCTATAATCCTGAACTAATCCCATTGAACAGTTCACATCGAAGTGAAAATTACTTACAGCTAATAATTGTTTGAGTATTGTTCAAAAGTGGCAATGTTCTGAGTCGGAAAAAAATGATCTGAGTGAAAAGTGGTCAGAGTATGCTATGAAATGTGGACCGAGTGTGTTATTAAAATTAAAAAGAAAGTTAAGAGAATAATCTGTTTTTTTTTTTCGAACCTTATGAATTGTTGGTTGGAGTCTAAAAAAAAAGTGGTCTGTGTTTTGAAAAGAGGTTGATTTCCTAACAGGTCCAAATTATAAATAAAAAGAAAAGCAGTGCGGGACAACAGATTAAAATATTTCGTTTCATGTGAAACAAATGGCCATTCCAGATTTTATCAGAAACCTTTAGTTTCGTTTTACAAGTCGTTTTTGTGCAGTTGGGCATGATGCAGCAAGTTGGGCAATGCGGCAAAATGAACCCACCGTGCATAATGCGCTTACTTATTACAAGTCTTTCCATATCATAAAGTGGCAAATTCAGTTCTATACTTTGTAAGGGTGTTACAGGAGAATTATTTTTCATTTCCTTCTATGCAAGTAATGATTGGACTGGAGAATTTTTAGATGTCATGAATTACATTGTCAGTACATATTATTTACTATTTAATATTGGTTTCAGAACATACTGGTTTTTTAATATTGGTATTACATGCAAGATGTAGGCCTACCAGTAAAATTAATTTAGAGGGGTGAGATCATGCTCGCATCCTTGATTTCAAACACCATTTCGCCTTGACATTATATTTGATCCAATCAAACTGAAGAATGACAATATTAAAGTTTTTGAGCCCCTAGATGTCAGGCATTATTTCTAGAATTATTTTGCCTATGTGGGCCTAACGCTCATTATAGATTTGTTTATTTTTGCTGTGTCATGTAGGTCTTAAAGCCTATGATAAAAACTTAATCCAAATAGCTTAAAGATGGGTTCCTTTATTTTCATTAATGAAAATGCTAATACTTATATGAATAGAAAGTTGAAGTGTTCTAATGACTTGGAAAAATACCAGTTTGTCTCACATGGCCATAATTAATTCATAATTAGCTAAATTAGAAGAGAATTACCAGCAGAATTACAATGAGTGACCAATCAAGAGGGGTCAAAATGTATTTTTTTGTTCATCCAGACTGTACATATATGAACATTTATGATTGGTTAAAACTCTTAATCATATGCAATAAGAAAAAAAATGATATGATTACGAATACATGATAATTCATTTCAAACACAAATTTATCAAATAGTTTGCTTTCTTTGACACTAAAAAGTAAGGGAACCCATCTTAAGGCTTATTTAAAAAAAAAGGCAATTTGAAGCTTAAAATTCACAAATTTACACACTTTGTCCATATGTAAGTAATGATATTGTGACTTCAAAAATATCTATCTTTCTAAATAAATCAGGGTTTAGAGAATCTGGCCCTTCTGAGGTAGATAAATAGGTTATAAACCTTGCACCTTGCAGAAAATCCTCATAAAACAGGGCCAGATTTTCCTCACACAACTCCAGTCAACAACCGTAACAGAGTGGAATATAGGTAGATCTTTGGACAATCGTAATAGGTCCTATGACTGCTTACTATGACAAGCATTACTGAATAGTCAATACTGAATGACTGAGAGTGACTTGTTTGTGTGAATGAGTGTAGGCCTAACTAAGCTTAATCCTAAAATTGACAGGTCACAGAGAAACGTTTGTAAAATCTGATTCTATACTTACCATCGGCTATTGTATGCGAATTCTAGTCTATAAATATGGCAGGAATAAAATAAAATTATATTTTCTTGAACTGTGTTACGGTGCCAAACAGTGCCAATATTCAAGGGAAAATTATCTGCATTTGCTCTGGTTCCGTCGCCATTTCCAATTACCTAAGTTGACTCGGTTAATTTGTCTCAACCTTCAATTGGCAAAGAAATCTAAAAGGCAATAAATATGGGACTAAAATGTAACCAATTTTATAAAATACCTATCATTATAATATACTACTAACCAAATAGATTTCTTTTCGCAATGTAGTCTGATTACAAATAGAATGTGGAGTTGATTGGCTCACCTCTGACACTACGACCCACCACAGAGAGTCGGAAAACTCAAAATATACTCCACGTTAACATTGGATAAACAGGGACACAGTTATATAAAAAAAATCACATCCAATAAAGGTTATCAAATTAGGAGACCACTTTGAGACTGAATGAATGAAAATTAGGCCATCAGTAAATTTCAAACGACAACGACAACGACAACTTGGTTACATTTCATTTCTAAACGTCCTCGACATTCAGGGCACTTGCTATCCCATAACGCCTATTGACACGTCGCCATATTGTTTTGGTGGACAACTTGAAACGTGTAAACATTGCTGTTTTTATTTGTAATAAACAACTTCTAACTTCGAGATTCGTTGTTGTTGCATGAAATCACCGCATCAATAATGAGTGGCAGATCTGGACCACCTGTCAAATTGATCTTTTATGGTTTGATTTTCGTTAGTTTTGTCTATATTTTATACATTTATACATCAACCACTGACAAATTACGAAATGCTCAAAACCAAGCCGAACGCTACCGAAGAGAAGAGGAAACTAAAGTCAGTCAACTCCAGGGTAACTAAATTTTCAATGATTTTTGCAGTAATGCATTGACAAAGATAGCATGATACAATTTTCTTCTTGCATGTATCACATAATAGGGGCCGTGGACCTACTAGAATTACTCCCTGACTACTTAGTTAAATTCTTAAAACGAGAATCTATATTTAAGGTCACGTTTTCTTTCAGCTTTCCGATGTGTATCTACTTATCCACATGTTCATTAATGTCAACATCTAGATCTAGTTATATTTTTTTGTATTGCAAACTTTTAATCGATCTGCGTAAAGTGAAAATAATATAATTTTGCCATTTTCCTGAAGGCCAGCCTTGAAAAACCCTTGAATTCCGTCCGTTGCCTTGAAAACAACATAAAAAAACCCATTTTCTCTTCAAAAGTAGAGTCAAATTGTGTATGTTTTTGGTGTTTAGTGAGCTCGTCTACAACCCTGAGAGGACTCTTCCACAGCAAGAGTGAACTCGTCTAAAAACCTTGAGACTACTCGTCTAAAACAATATTCTTTATAAGTTATTACAGTGGTGTAACCTATTTTCGTGGATATAAGGATTCAACACCGAATTTTGTCAAAGTTAAAAAAACTAAATTTTTTTTTGTGTCTTAGATGTTCCCTCAGTTACTCTACAAAATAATTAAAATTGGTTTATTTCGATTTTCTTTATGAATCCTATGACCCATATTTCATGAGCAACCAACTCGGCAACGGCGGCAGAATGCGTCACCTATTTTCGTGTACAATGTTTGATCTATAAATAAGTCTAAAAAAACACGTTGTATGGATACCGGGTGGTATAATTAACTTCTCTTAGTATTTATCTTTAATATCAATTCATTATAACTAGTGAGAAAGAACCACGATTTAAAATAAAAATAGTGACTGACAAAATAAGATACGTAGCGTGATTTATTGATAAAAGTCACTGAAACAACATAAGAATATAGTCCACTTTGTGTGTTCTGCTGACACGGAATCCGCTAGTTGATCACGTGACTTCATTCGTTGGACTACATTCTAGCAGACGACACTTGGAATTCCGATTATCGCTTGGGATTATAAGGAAATTCGGCTGATAAAAAATGGTGACCTTTGGTAATAAGTGAAATCCGCCATTTTGTATTTGTCAAAGTATACATTAATACATGTTACCTTGCTTGAAACTACTGGATTCATTCTAGCTGATATTGTACAGAAAACCCATGTTTATTAAAACTAATGTGGAGGTCGCGCAAGGTCGCTCATGTAAATTATTAAACATTTCCGGAAAATCCACGAATAATAGGTTTCCACGAAATTAGGTTATTTGACTGAATATATTGAAATAAAGACTTTCTTTGGTACACTATCTTTTAGTTTTAATTATCGTTCATAATTCCTACGATCGGCAATATCTGGTTTCGGCAGTGAGCGATCAATCAACGGATATGAGCGGTGCATATAACAGTAATTAATTAACAATGCAAACACGCGTGAGCAATCTTTCAATCAAAGGAGAGATCAGAGGCAAATCATTTGAATCTATTCAAATGGCTTCCTACACAGCCTATTGTAGAAAAGATTCCATTTACAGGATCGTTCGCAAAGTTTTAGATTTGCCTTATTTGCCAGCGGAGCACATTGTGGCCGCATTTAAGAGATTAAAAGATAGGTATGCAACTTCTGATACTATCATTTCTTTCTTATCCTATTTGGAATCAACATGGATTGCAAACTCTGTATGGTCAGTGTATGATTGGTCGGTATATGGTCATGAGGTTGGTTGTGAGGACCAACAACGATGTTGAAGGTTGGCATACCCGTCTCAACCAACGTGCCAAGAGGGGGTTTCTGCAGTTTTATATGTTGGTATCTCTCTTGCATAAAGAGGCCAAATTAGTTTATATGACCATGAGGCTGGTATCTGAAAAGAAGATAAAGAGAATGCAGTCAAAACACACCAGGAATCAACACTCAGATGTAATGGCTATTTGGGACCGATATGATAGTGGATCTCTGTCACTAAATTCTATGTTAAATGAGATAGGACGCTTGGTTGCTGTTTAAATGAATATATATTGGTGTGAATGACAAATTATTGTTGTACAATGTTATTATGTAAGAATGAATAAATGATTGACTTAAAATAATTCGTATTATCTCCTCTCAAAAGTAACTCTTCCCCATCTATTCCGTTTTCCGCCATTTTTTATCATTAACCTCATTGACAAAATATTAACTATCTTTATTGATTTCACATTTCAGAAGTTAGGTACATGTGTATTCTGTCAGACTAATATCCTTGAAAAGTCCTTGAATTTCAAAGCCCAGAGTCCTTGACAAGTCTTTGAATTTTTGAGGCAAAGTGCTGTATGAACCCTGGGACCATTTTATTGGCTCTCATGAGCTAGATACGATACTATCATTACAGACTGTTAATACGTAGTAAAAATCACAGTCAATGACATGAACTATTTGAGCTTTGAATTGAATATATTCTCCATTTCATATATGTACAGAAAAAAACTTTCAACTATGTTGTGTATGCCATTTGATAACTAGCAGAATCCATGTCTTATTCTTAGTTATATGTTATCCTAAATTCAAATTAAGTTAAAAGTGTCAGCTTGTACACTTTATAATTTCAGATGTGTTGAAAGCTAAAGATGATTTACAAGAGAGATGTGAAAGTGAAAGAGTAAGTATTTGATTGTATTGTAATCAAGTATGAATATCTTGAACAGATTTTCTAGGTTTACTTTTGGGTAGAGGTTCTGACTTGTAATAACAATGGCAACATTCACATTATATACAGTTATGAGTCTGAGCAAAGTTAAAGTTTTTGAAATTTTTTCCATTACATTTTTGAGATTTGGAATAACAGCCTCAAAATAGTATTGTTAGCTTTAGAATGTTTTTGTAATTAGAAAATATAAACATAAGATCACAGTATGTCTTTAAATATTTCTTTATATGGAGGACAATTTTCAGCCAATATATGGAACATTTTGGTTGAAATTTCTAGGCAGGATATATGTGTCTTTTCGATGTAGACTTACTTACACTTATATTTTTTTATCAGAGACGCAGAGACAATTTTTACTTTACTCAGACAATAACCGTTTTAGTTCCTGACAATTTAAACAGAAAAATTTACAAGTGTTATGACAATTCCTTTGTTGATAAATGTGACTCTCTTGAAGCTATGTTATCCTAATTTGAGAAATTTTTTTATTGGTTCATTCATTCAATGGACACTATTGTATTATGATCATTTCCTGAGAAGAAAGAATGTGGGATTATCAAAGAAATCATGTAATTTTTTATTTACAGCAAGAATTTGTCAGTAGGATTAACTCTTTGAATCAACAACAGAAAATGCTTAAGGTGATTTTAAAACTTTTTTATTAACTAAAGTAAAGTTGTCAATTTCAATTCAAAGCATTGATGTCATGTGGAAAAAGCTTTTTTCACCAATGACCAAAACATTTGCAATGGGGCATAATTTTAGCTACCAGTATATTTTTCAAAATATTTACTTAATATATGATAAGGTGTTTGTAATTATAGGGTCGTAATGAAGAAATGGAAGCTGAAAATGGCAGGCTGCAACAAGAACTTCAAAAACTAAAAGATGATCAGAGTCATATAGAATCTCAACGTAGTCAAGAATTTCAGCAATTAAAACAAGAGAAAGAATTAGAAATTGCTTCCATAAAGGGTATGCTTTAGATTAACAAGCTGTAAAAGTTTAACCTGTATTCAGATTCGAACAGTGATCAGTGTGTGATTTTTACACATTTCTAAAAGATGTTTCAGGTAAATTGTTGGTTAAAGAATAGTATACATTATGTAGGTTGATCTGATAATGATTCTTTTTGTTTTTTGGTTTACCTCCTTCTGTATGATTATTAAAGGATATGGCAGTTGTTTCAACTTTATTCTTATTCACAATGTTTGTAGATCAAGTAGCAAATTATCAACGCCAGAATGAACAATTACAGAATGAAATCTCTAGTTTGAAAACCCAACTACAAAATAGTCAGGTTAGTAAAATTTTTACCCAACTTTAATATATTTTTGCAGAATTGAACCATAAGCCATCAACTTTATCATTTTTTACGCATATTCAGACTCAAAATCATCACATCATAATCACTGATAATCTGAAAAAAAAAATAAACTTCCTCTTATTCAAAGAAGAGAATACTGTGGCTATATGAATTTTTTGGAAAGTAGGACATCTCTTCTGTAGTTGAGAATGCTATACAAATATACCAATGCTCGACATCTTAGGATGTAAAGGATTAACATCATTGCTAATTGTATATTAATGTTCATAATGTGGAATATCTGACTGTTTTTCACTATTATCCTGATATTTTTCTGAAGTTAAAGAGGAAAAGGCATGGATTTTTTAAATCTTAAAGTGAAATTGCCCACTAATGAGAGCAGAGGGAAAGCCATCATTTAATTTCCATTTATCCTACTTTTATAGCATTATATTTTATTATACGCCCACATGAATATATGGTTGTATATTGTCGTCGCCCGTGTCCGTCGGTCGGTCCGTCCGTCCGTCATCATTTTTTGTGAGCACTATAGAGACTACAGTTTTCATCTGATTTTGATAAAACTTGGTGTGATGCTTTAGATTGATAAGATCTCGGTTGACATATTTTCGAAGAACGGCTTTTGAGTTATTGCCCTTGACTTTGTTAAAACGTGTCAAAGTTTGTTCTTGAGCACAAGCTCAGTTTTCAACCGATTCTGATGAAACTTGGTGTGATCATTGGAATTGATAAGATCTCGGACAAGTTCTAACTTGATGCATTTTCGATGAACGGTTTTTGAGTTATTGCCATTGACTTTGTAAACACGAGTCAAAAGTTGTTTTTTCCCTTGATTAGAGCTGTGTGATTTGATTATTTGTTGTATTTGGGTTATTGATTTTTAGAAGTTACTCAGCATAAATAACTGGCATATCTATATATGTAATTGAATTCAAACTAAACAAATTTCTTCAATATGAGAAAATTTGTACTTTAGTCACTAAAGACTGTTTTATCATTTCTGACAGCTGTCAGTGGGCGTATGTTACCTTGCCTCGCAAGCTATCTTCTTACTTTAATACCTTAATTATTTAGATAAATGTTATACATATTATTTACCTCAGGGCCAAATACAATATGATCAAACAGTTATCACCAATCTAGATCAGGAACTTGTCAAACTCAAGGTTTTATCACTTTCTCTTCTCAGCTTTTATAACTGATGCAATTTATGATCTAATCTTAGTTAAAAGATATAAAAAAGACTACTGTTGCATTATTATACAATGGTATTGATACAAGATCATAAAGATAAATTTGTGTACATTTCTTATGGCTAAGATAAGATCAATAAAATAGTGGTTAGATCTAAGAATGTGGTAAGAAGTGGGGGCATGATGTATTAATATCATTCTTGAACAATTGATTGGCATGATAGAATGTTTATTCATTTATAAAGTATGAAATGGTGTGAATAGTACTTTGATGTCAGATCAAGCTTTTTTAATTTGTTAAAGATTGTACATTTATAAGATTTATAACTTCAAAGAACTACTGTTTCATTTTGGCTGATTTTATTAGTTGGTAGTGAATCCATCAATTTGAACAATTCTAGAATTTTACAAAATAGAAGAGCAAATTATAATAGCATTGAATTCAAAAACGTTTATTCAGGGCATGTTGAATTTGTTAATGATTTTGGGATATTAAAATTCTTTACTGTCTATATCATAAAGCCAATTGAAATTTCTCTATAATTTCACGAAAATGAAGCGAATTTTCATGCAAGTCAAATGACCTGAAGAAGAAAATAAAGCTAAATATAGAATGTGTTAGTGTGATTCTCAATGAATTAAGGTGAAGGTGATGATAATGTGTTGGTTGTGGTTTTAATAATTGATTTTATTCTTTAAATATTTCATTTAAACCATTCAGTTTGACTTTTAATTTTGATTTATTTTGTTTAGCATCAACATCAACAAGATTCTACCCAATTAGAAGGTTTAAGACAACAATTGAACCAAGTAAAGGTTAATTTCGTTTTATTTTGTGGTTTGGTACAGACAGCTGCATTCACATCTAAGATATCACTTCCTTTTCCAAAGATCATTGCTTTTGTCAATGCTTATCCACTATGTTGTTCAAAGGACTGTAAGAGGTTTTCTAATCTTTTATGTCTATCACGTCAAAAATGTGTAGTAAATGCTTGTCTGGAAAGCTATCTTTACATTTTCTCTTGCTTTTATGAAAACACTTTAAAGGTCAATCCATTCTTTCTTGTCTGATCTTGTTAGTACTTATGACTTGTCACCTTCCAAGATCTGCCTTTTCTCTTTCATGCCTGTCTTATTTCTATATCCTTCATACTTTGTCTTAGAAAATATTATTTAAGAGCTATAAGTATACCAACAAGCGGTACTATCAAATGGAGAGATGTGTTCAAGTGATTAATAGGATGTACAAGTCTTGAATTATTTTAATTAATGTCTATCTAATGTGTGCATTTAACAAAATATCTTGTTTAAGCTTCATTTACATACTAAAGGCATTGAGTTTTGCACAAAAATTGAAATTTCAACTCCAAAATAGAATCTTTGATTACCTTTTGGTTTATGAAAATGCAAACTTATGAAATAGTTGTAGTAAATGTGAAATTCTGACCTCATTGATGTCGGCGAGTAAGGTAATATTATAGTTCATTTGATTGATGGTAATAGAAAATAAAATAAAGAAATAACTGAAGATATGCAAATTCACAGATTAGGATGAATTATTATCACTTAGTTACATTTGATATTTAGTCATAGTTAATTGATCATATTGAAAATTGGTTTATTATTTGATAGAAAAAATATACTATTGTGTAGGACAATATTTATGGCATGATTTTTAAGAGCAATTTAAGTCTACATTTGACACCATAATATAGAAAATCTTTCATTTTTGCCACTTGAGAGTTGTATATATGATATTTAAATTCTAGTTAAGATTGAAGTGCGACAAACAGTTTTAACAGTATTAGATAAATTAAAACAAACTCAAGGTTTACTCAATCTGAATGTTTGCTTTTTGATAAAAGGTTTTTTTTACTTATTTTATATTGCTATAATGTATGATATTGATATTTCATGCATGTTATTTCAATATGAATGCTGATTCGAAAGCAATGAAAAAGTGCATGGTGTGCTTTTAATAACAACTTAATTTAGGTATATGAAAAGAGTCAAAAACTTCAATAATGCATCATTTATAAGCGTTAAGTTAGTGGAAAAAATTTAAAAAAAGAACAATTCACTTTGCTTGCAAGTAAAACTAATTGTATTTGTTCTAGACAAGTTTATAATGTGTCCAATGTAGCTTATAATTTTCATATTTGGTATATTTATTACTTAAACTCCTTAAACATAAGTGGATAGTTTTTGTATTGAATCTTGTTGGAAAGTGCAGACTTCTCCTTGCTTAATCATAATAATGATATCACACGTTACATTAAATATGATAATGTATGAAAATACTTAAAAAGTAGATGTTAATTGTTTGACAGTATTTATAATACAGCTTACTAATCTAATTTCAAAACAAAAACTTTTTACATCAAGAAATCATGAAAATTGCAATTTTATAGCTGATGAAATATGAATAATCTGCCATATTTATGTGGACTCATTGAAAGAAAATCAATCAGTATGAATTGAAACAGCTGGTCTTGCATATATAACATATTTTATATATATATATATATGTTATTTATACAATGAATTTACAAGTTATAAAGACAATAGGAAGATGTTTGTAGGCGTAATTTCTAAATGACATATTTTCAATGTCTATTTTTATCAAGAGTAAATTATAACTTAAATTCCACTGGCAGCTTTTCCAACAAAATGTTTTTGCTACAGTCATATGATTCTGAACTTCAAAAATTTACAGGTACTATAAACCTGCCATCTTAGACTGATATTTTAATATATATCATAACATATTTATAAAATTAGTAATATAACTCTTGTGTATTATTTCAGAATTCCAATGTGGCTGCTGTAAACCAACAACAAGTGCAACAACAAGAAGGAGGGAATCAACTTATTCAACAACAACCTCTAGTAGTCGCACAACAGCCTGTGGGAAATGCAAAACAACCTATTGTAGACCAGCAAGCCCATCAACAACAACCAAATCAACCAGTTGTTGGCATAGATGGAGTCAAAGATGTACCAAATCCAGCTGATCAACAACAGCAACAGCAGCATCAACAACAGGAAAACATGCAGGTGAGTTCCAACATATTTACTCATTTATTCCATCAAAACAGGATACAATTGTAGTATGACAAGCTATAAAACACTGGCTCGGATTGCCTTAGAGACTGTATCAGAATAAAAAAGTGGTACATATAATAAACACAAATCCTTCATAGAATAAATAAATAATTTCACAGAACAAATTAAATTGCAATAATGATTTGAGAATCTTATTCAAAAGTTCGGGTCTATAGGAATATAAGTTTCAGTTTTTTTACTTTTAAAATAGACACACTTCCTTCCCTGAAAATTCACTTGAAAATTACCTTCTTTTAGTACCAAAAATTCAAAGACAAAACTTCAGGACGTTTTACATGCACTTTATATTGATACGAAAAAAGTATGTTTTGATTTACACTGTTAAACTTTCATGTTGTGACTTTCAATTACATTTAGCAAGTAAATCAGGGTGGTCAACAACAAGTTAATAATGGACAACAAAATGTTGGTGATGGATTATTAGTTGATGCCAAGAATCAAGTTTTACAAATAGATCAACAAGTAGGACAGATTGGTATGTGTAAAACTGAAATTATTTAACTTCTAAAAATAAATTTAAGGAATAATTATATGTTAAAAAGCAAGTTTCATTATGGTAAACTCATGTTTTAATTATTTACCAACAGTATCTTGAAAAATACTTAGAGCACTATATTCTGTTGATATCAATTTGGCTGGCATTTAACATTATTGAATCGTGCCACAAATTGCCTGTAATTTTTTGTAAATTTCACTATTTAATTGCTTTCCTTCTACACAAACAGAGAACAGAAACAGATCATATACCTTATTACCTCATCCCTTCCCCTTTTATGACATTGACGCTCAAATTTTAAGGAAAATATTTTTGTTCTGCGGATTATTTTGTGTCAAAATACAAGCGCTTTTTTTTTTTTAATATTAACACCTTTCGAAAAAGGCCAGATGCGAGTAAAGTCTCAGCCATAATAGCTGTATCGGGTACAAGTGTTCTTAAGCCATTTTTTAGGGAAATCACACATGAAAATGGCATACAGATAAAAAAAAATTCCAAATTTGCGGCAATAGTAATATTTAGCGCATTTGTCTTGAGACTTTACTCACGTCTGGTCAGAGGTTGCAAACATACAGTTGAAAAATTAGTTACAAATAAGATGAAAAAATATCTAGCGATATAATATGCACTATCCACTAAATAAATTTTTCGTTGTTTTTCAATGCAACATCCGTAATACATTGAGTTCTCAAACAAAAAACATGATTTGAATCGGTAAAAGAAAGGGCTCGGGTCAGACGCAAGTAAGCTCGGGTGAGTAAACTAACATGCAACCTATATGGGAGATAACTAATTTTTAGCATATTCGATTTACCAGACTCAATTGACTTGGTTACTTGCTTTTATACAACAGAAATTTTGTTTGTTTGTTTAAATTTGCTATTTTAAAAGCAGATGATAGATTTATGAATTTCTCAAACATTAAAATTAAAATAGCCAGATTCGATTAATTTCAAATATGTTATGCAGCCAGTCAAGCATTCGGCAATTTCCGTGATCTCCATCTCCGTCAGTCATTGTGTAACATTTGGCACCGGACCACCATTTGTCGCAATGCCGTGTGATATTGTAATTGTAACATTGCTATTAGTATTTATAAGACAAAATATAGTCCATTCTTTAAAATATTTTAGGGAAAATTGATCATAAAAAAGATGACATGACTATTTTGTTCAACGGGACTAGGTTTAGGGTGGGCGATTTGACTTGTTAATCCACGTGAGAATAAAATAACATGCTGGGTAACGCTGTCGCTGACTCTATTTTGCTGTTTGGACTATAACAACTTAGAGGTTTAATCATTATATTTTTATGGTCGAAGCCGATAGTATGAAATTTTTCTGTCGACGGATTTTGATACGAAAAATGACGAGCGGCCATTTTTGTTATTATTAAAAAAAAAAAAAAAAAAATTGCATTATTTGAGTGCAGCGAATCCGTCGACCAATCAATCCATTTGGTCGGGCCTTAAATCAAATATTTTTATGATACAAAACTTTACTGTAGGTGACCAGTTGGCTAATTTACAAGGTGGTGCAGCTCAACAAGATGGAAATAATATCGGTAAAGAAGGTGTAGCAGATGTCCATCATCAAGTTCAGCCCCCTCTTGATGCTGATGCTCCTGCTTTAGGTGCTGGTGATGATGAAGATAAAGATTCAAAGGTAAGTAGAAAGATTTCTGATCAGGTTTGATTAATGATAAATAACTCTTCAAAATCTGCTATTACAAAATCAAAAACCAATTATAAATTTTTTAATCATACATATTACGAAAGCAAAAGAACTACATAAAAATTATCTTGTTATAGCTTTCACAATATGCAAGCAACAGTTAGTTCTTGTGGATATAAATTTGAGTCTTGTTAACAACAAAACAGTGACAACATTTAAACTTTAAAAAACTTTTGCAGTAGTTCCAGTGAAATCTAGTATTTTTTGTAAAATGTTTTGACTAATTAATGGGTAAACTTCAACTAACCAACTTTGTTTTGTGAACCAAAAAATCACCTGATTACAATAAGGTTGACTCATGATTTAGCTTCATTTGTAGTTTTACAGTATAAATCCTTGAAGCTAATTTGATTGAAACTATCTAATGATTTGGGTTCTTTGATTTTTTCGTTTTCAGCAGAAGCAAGAACCAGCTCAATAGTTCATAGTCAGATGTGTTGTTTGTGTTTCTGTTGTCTTTATTATTCTGTGAATTATTGTGTTATCAACTGGACCTGTCATTGTGCTGTCTTTGTAAATATCCAGGACTAAGTAATGTAGATGTGTTTTTGTTATGTTTTCAATTTTGTCAAAAGGTTAATAAAGAATGAAAGGTTATGGTTGGACTTTAAAATTATTCTCATAGTATTTTGTTCCTGAGGAATTTTCACTGAAGTACACTTATCTGTTAATGATAGCAACATATCACATCAGAAAGGACAATATGTTCAAAACTCTGTCATGAACAGCAATAATTTTTACTTCTTTTAGAACAATACCTGGCATCAGCGAACCAATTTTCATATAAATAAATTTAATTCCAATCCTATGACATGAATACTGTTTACTACCTGCAAATTACCAAAGATATGAAAATAAATACTGGTGTATTAATCAGTTGTATTAATCAGTTGGTGGTCATTTTGGGAGTTTTCTGCGAGGTGTCACTGTACATTTCTCGTAGGGAATAGGTGATTTAATTAATTTATCATATGTTGTTTGAATATATAAAGTGCCCTATCAGATTGTCTATTTTGGAGATTTCAACAGGAGACTTAAGTGACACAGATGAGGTAAAAATAATTTATAGTTTGGTGACAGGGATATAAACATATTGAAACTGATAGTCTGAATATTTATTTAAACAGCTAATATAGCTCAATTTCAGCTATTTCAGAGAATTTTTCAAAATCAACACCTGAAGCATGAATCAATTATTTGTAGGAGTGTAAACTGTTATAATTTTATGGATGTCAATAGAATTCTCTCATGTGTATATAAAAGGGTCACTAATTTGTAATAAATTTATTTAGAAGCTTAATTAAGAATTCAAATAATAACTAAAATTGAGATCTATTAGCATTTAATATTTACATGACTATATCCCTTTCAGTTGATTTTGTGTAGTAAGTATTTTTTTATCGATTAGTGGTTAGGTGTTTTTTATCTGAAGATTACAATTGTTATCCTGGCCTGTTAAAATATTCCTGGTATTATAATAGAATAAATTTCAATACCTATTTCTTTTTTAACTTTTATATTTTAGTATGTTAAATTTTAGCCCAAATGAAATGATCACTGATGGGTGGACAGGATAACCCAGGCTTTGGTCACTTTAGTTTGTCTACTGAACATCCCTTTTGTCCACTTAACTATTAATGTTTCTTTTTTTTTATTTATTACAGTATGATAAACAACTACTGGTTTTTCCATGTCATTTAACTTTATTTGCTTGTAATTAATTTAAGAAATGGTCTTATTTTTAAAAAGTTGCACCATAAATTCAGTTGTAACTTATAAACATATATGTAGATACTTCAAATGTATCCATACACCCACTCAAACTAGAAGATGGTGTAACTAACTGGTTTATTAATATTGTGTATGTTTGATATTAGCAAGTTATAATTGTGTATTTCAGAATGGTGAAGTTAAGAATGAATTAGTTGAACATGAACAGATATTTAAACCAGATTTTAAAATCAATGAAGATATATTAAAGGAGAATGCAGCTGATGTTAACATTAGAACATTACATAATATTGATAAAGACCATCATGATAATAGGTATTATCATGTATTTCATTGATATTGAAAAGAATTTAGTATTCACTTTCCTTTTTGATCTGTGATAAATCTTTGATCTTTTCAGTAAGAACATTTTGTTTCAGACAGGACTTCTATCAAGGCAATTAAACTAAATTCCATTAGATATATATGTTGCTTATTAACAAACTGACTCAATATCAGAAACATGGTTTGAATCCTGTACTTACTGAAACATGAACAGATATGAACTGACCGGAAACAACCAGGAAAGAAAAAAGGTGAAATTCCAGGAACAGAGCAGGAAGAACTACAGGAAATGCCCTCAAACTATTTTGCGATGAATTCTAAGCATGCTAATCAGGCCGAACATGTACTTCATTTTAAGAAAATATACATTGAGAAAAGTGCACTTAATTTAGTTTGATATATAACTTTGCTAATACATTGTAACAATATATTGTTATTGTGTTATGATAAATTAAGTTTGTAAAAAGTCAACAAATATGCTCAATGTCATCTTAAGAGACATAAAACTGATTGTGAAAAATTATGAATGGTGGCCTTATTCCCCTAAATGTCTTCAAAAAAGAGCTTACACATATTTTTAAAGAGAAATGAGAAAATAGTAATTGACATGAAGGTAATTAAAAATATCAAGAAGTTCCATTATAATTTTTCATGATTTTAAGAATCATTATGTGCACCTCAAACAAATGCATATTTTTTTAAAAATTAATTGCTTGGCCTTTTTAGCTTGATTAGAATTTATCACGGTTTCTGCTTGTTTCACACTTTCTTTGGTAGTTTCCTGCTTGTTTCACACTTTCTTTGGTAGTTTCCTGCTCGTTTCATGTCGGTTCATGTTTTATTAAGTACGTTTGAATCCCTTTTTTAACTAAATTTTTCAACCAAAATGATGGATTGATAAGAAATGATAAATAGCTGTAGGCTTATTCTACTAAGTGTAATGTATGGTTTAAAATGATTTCAACTTTTATTTTAGATTAAAACATGAGGGGCCAGTAGGATTACAAGTACAAGAACCTAAATTATTGCTAAATGATGAGAATCATGCAGCAGAAGACAATCATGGTGTAGATGATAATAATAATCAAATCAATCAAATGGCTATACCTAATTTTGATCATGGTAATAAGGATTTAGATTTACAAGAAAAAGTAAAAATAGAAAATGAAGGTAGGTTAAGCAGTTACAAATAGTGTTACTTGCCATTTAATAAAGTGAGCATATCATATTCTTTCATGCTCAATTACCAGATAGTAGCTAGTTATCAATTAGATGTTTTTATTGAATCATAGTTTACAATATTTGTAATGAATAGGACAAAATATACTTACATTAATTAGTTTAGTAAACTAGTTACTAAATATTTGTGAAGTCAAAAGAACTTAATAAAATGTTGTTGTTAAGTTTTAGTTAATATTAATTGAAGGCTATGACCTTGATGATCCAATATTTTGATATTAATTATTATGAATCTTTCTTGTTTGGTACAATATATCTTCAAAATATTGACCACTATTTAATAAGATAGTACAAGGCTTACAGTATATTATAATAATAAAACCAATGACCAACAGATTCTTGCTCCTCTCTTAGATGAAATATAGGGATCTAAAGATGTTGATGGTATATAAGCATGATTTTAAGATTTAATTTGAGTTAGACATTCTAGTTGAAGAAAACACAGTGTACTTTAGCTAGGTGTAAATATTTGTAGATGAAGATGATAAACATTATAATGAAGATTATAAATATGATGATAAAGATATGAATGAAGAAGAAGAGGAACAAGAGGAAGGGAAACACTATTAGAAATATAGGTTGGCTTAATGTCTGACCACTATCTGCTATATTCACACTGTACCTTTAATCTGATACATACTTCAAATCTGTCATTTTAGGTGGTTGATTTTACAAATTAACAAAAAATCTTGTTCTGTTATACCACCTTGAAATCAGTATTTCAGCCAGCAAATTTCAACTATATTTAAATAGATACATGCTTATATTTTGGTCAGTTCAATTTTGGCGTATTTTTAACAGGTTTTGTAATTTCCACACAAACTTAGAAACCATAGTCTTGTTAGAAAATCATACATGCAGGTGTGTGTACTCAAGAAATCTTGACATTTTCTGCACTAGATCTGATTTGAAATATGTTATTAAGAATATGGGTTTATAAATGGTTGTGTATGCTATAGCTAATGCATGTCCCTTTCTCTTGTTTTCTAATCCTTTTTTAGTCTTACTAATACATGTATAAACATTTTCAATAGATGATTGTTAATGGAAGTATAGACTACTATCCTAAAATAGATGATTGTGTATTCTATTAGTAACTAATATAGCTAATATAGATTTTCTCTTTGCAAGGTCATGATATATATTAGTCTATAGCAGCTTTTAATATCAAGAAGCACAATTTGCACATATAGCACTTAAATAATAATATTCTTCATGGTATATTCAACAAACATTGTCATATTTCTAACTGGTTTAATGTCAGATCCGAGTTAATAAATGTTCATGATTTTCAAACCATTCTGAGGACATTTTAACATTTTTCTCTCAAACATTCATAAATATTACATGAGTATGGGCAATCCCTCTTGTATTAGAAATGTTGTCATTATTGGTTATAATTCACCATCACATATGAAGCTAAAACAGAGAATGTGAGCCACAGTCCCATCTATTTGTGAAATGAGGGCATGGTTTAAATGGCGATGATAATTTATAAGATTATGTTCTAAGAGACAATATTCATCATCGATACTTTCAAGGTGAATTTCTGAAAATATATAAACCTGTAACAGAAAAATTGAGATTAAGACCTTATACTATACATAAATATGTCATCCTAAATATATATTTTTTTGTACTTTGACACTGTTTTTAATTGAACATAGAATCTTGGTATTACTCTGTTATTTGTGATATTTTCTAAATACATTTGTATGAAAATTCCTCCTTCAGTGCTAATTCTCTTTAAGTGATTTGCTGATCGTGATTATTATATAGATTTAAAACATAAGCACTTTCCTTCTGATAATGTGCATGAATTTGCATCAGAAAGCATGTGTTTGAATTTTGACTATTATCTATATTGATATATATATAATCCCTTCCATTTTTATACACCCACATGAAATGTGTAGGGTATATTGCTGTCACCCATGTCCATCCGTGGGTGGATCCACAATTGGTTGTAAATCCTCTACAAGGCACAATTCTTGACGGATTTTGACGAAACTTGGCTTGAGTGTTCTTTATCACCCAAGGATGAACCCTATTAAAAATCAGATAAATCGAAAAATATTTAGTATGAGTTTATTGCCCTCTTCAAGTTTTAGCTGGTAAACTCTCTAGAAGGCACAAATCTTGATATGATGATTGTGTGTTATAACCAATGGATGAATCCTATCGAAAATCACAAAAAACAAAAAATGTTTTATAGGAGTTATTGACCTCGTTGTTGAAAATGCAATCAAATTTTAGCCCTTAAACACTAACAGGCATTATTATTGCCAAAATTTTACCAAACTTGGTTTGTTATTCAGTATTGCCAGATAAAGTGTATATGAATATTTCATACTGGTGATTGTTACTGTACTGCCAAATATTTTTATTCAAAATCAAAGCTGCCAGTGGGCATATATTACCTTGTCTGGCAAGCTATCTTAAATTTTGCATCTTACATAGCTAAAATATGTCCAAATGAGTTTATGAATTGAAGGGAGTTTAGTTTTAAACAGATTTTTAAAAATCTAAAATTTAAATCTAATCCGTTTGAAACATTCTGCTTTAAGCAGAATGTACAGTAACATCTGCTGTTGACTGTAAAACTGTTTAGAACATTCTATTTTGATGTAAGTTTGTCTATTAATGTTTATGATATAATTGTATGTCTATTTTGCAGGTAAAAAACATCCTGCTTTGCCGAGTATGAAATAAACAAAGATCAACTTGTGATATTTTGGTGTGAAAATGTGTTATAATGATTGGAATAGGAATCAATATTAACACTAAAACTTCAAGATAGATGAATATATATCAAGACCATCAAGGAGGAGTTAACTCTGCTGTCAACGTTAATATGTTAATATTCAAAGGGGTGTTTAATGTAATTATGTACTCAGTATATCTACTACAGGTTGTATTTTGAAATCATTAGGTGAGAAGTACTAATGTGTACACTTACGTTACATTATTTGATCAAAAAATAGTGAAACATAAGTGTAATCCATTGTAGTTTTGTATTTGTTAAAGAGAATAAAGTTAGATTTGAGATTGTTATTGGTTGTTATTTTAGAATATTATTTGTATAGTTAAACTATATCTATGTTATTCTAATATAATGTTCAAAAGATATTATCAAATTTAAATATTGTTAATAATTATTTCCAGAAAGTGACATTTTCAAAACCTAAACCTTTTAAGTATACAGAAATCTACTATATTTCACATATTTCAGCAACTCACTCGTATTGTCCTAGTGAAATGTCTATTATGTTTGTTGTACATTTCTAATCTTCTAATATCATTGTCCTATTACCTGTGCATTTAAAAGAATTAATTACATTACATTAAAATATTGTTACCCATTTATCACTCTGTAGTCAGTTTGTATAAGAGATAATGATAGATAAATTATCTATCAATATCTCTAAGATAACCCAGGTTAAGCCATAGGAGTCATAGTCTTATGTCCCTCCCATTTCTCAGAAATCTTATCTGTTTAAGACTTCAAGAGTATATTCATTGAAACTTGATTTAAAGTAGTTTAATGAGGCAATGAACAAATTGATGTATCTATAATGTTTGACTGTATTGCAATCAGATTGCACACATTTTGAATTGAAAGGGATTCACTATATTTTTGTACATAATATTGTAGTGCTAGCTTTAATTTATTGAGGGAAATATAGGAAATCATGCTTCATGAATTTATGTGTGAATGGGTGACTACATTTCTCTTCAACTGATGTGTGTGTAAATTTATAGCAAGGTTTATATTGTTATACTAAGAATTATAATTATTATAATATAGAGTGGGTTTCAGTGGAAGCTATTTATCTATTTTAAAATTTCAAGAACATTATGTTGGCTTTACTGCTATTTAACTCAGCCATATTTTGACAGTAAATTTTTACTTGCTTGATTATTTGCTGTAAAATAAGGTACTATTTTTGTGATTAAGAAGTGAGTAGAGGAACAAACTTCTTAACATCTAACATTACTTTATAAATAAAACATTAATTAAAGCTAGCTGTCAGTCAAAATGTCATGTGATTGGATGGAAAAGTGGGCAAGTTTCTAATAAATGTTATTTTCAGAAAATGTATATGTTAAGTATTATTGTATGCTAAAGTTTTTATTCTTTTGTATATTGTGTAAATATTTTTTACTTCTAAACTAAAGTTGAAACTAATAAACGTGGGTGTATGATCTGTCTTAATACTTTTTCTTGCTGCCTGTTTCACTGTTGGTTTTTACACCACTATCTGAGACAGTTTGTATATTTGAAACTGCTTTCTTGACAAGGAAAACACTAGACGGCATGTCCATCAGGATGCCAGAATATAACAAGTGGTTGCCTAGCAACATTTTCAGTATATCAAGGGCAGTCACCTATCTGTTTCAAATCATACCAAAAATCTAATTTGTTCAAGATCTCATCACTATAAAATTAATGATCACACCAAATTTCATTTAAATCGAATGAAACTGTAATGTCTATCATGTTCACAAACAAATTTTGACACGCTATTCCTCAGTCAAGTACAATACTTGAAAAAACGTTCATCGAAAATTGGAACTTGTCCAAGATCTCATTTTAAATATTCACACCAAATTTCATATAAATCAGATGAGAACTGTAGACTCTATTGTGTAAGAAGCAGATTTATTGCCCTTGCCCCAAAATCTTTAATATTTACCTTCTGCATGCCGCGGTGGACGTATATGGCTGTTGGCTGTGGTCCACTATCTTTAACATTGTACTTAGTGATAAATTTGTATCTAGTATCAACTGCAGATTGTTTTGGTCTGTTTGTTCAATAAAAGTCAACGATTATTAATGCAACACTGAGGACAGAAGTAAAGACTTTCTTGGTTACTATCTTGTTTTAACTCTTGTCTGTTTGGCCATCATTTTCGTTGAAATGGTAAAATTTTATTAATACCCATGACTCAAAATCATTATTGCCTTTGCTCTTTATAAGGCTGTCGATTTTGAGACAGTATTTCATAAATGATTGTAAAGAACTTATGTATAAGATAAAACAACATAGTGTTGATGACGTGTTTGATTTTAAGCTTGAAATACCCCTAGGTTTTTTCGAGGATCAGGTGTCTGAAGAATAAATTAAAAAAAAAAACTGGTCCAATTTCAAGTTGAATCCTTTTTTGTCTTCGATGTAAATGTTCAATCTAAGTTTCCAGAAATTCATTGAGAAAAGATAGTGGACAACACCCATATACGCCCTTCATGGTATGCGGATGGTAAAAACGAAACATCCATTTTAAGTTTCATCAAAATCGGTCGAAAACTAAGAGAGTAATAGCATATTCAAGATTTTGGGGCAAGGGCAATAACTCTGCTTCTAACAATCGAAAATTGCTCAAATTCGAACTTGATCTTCGTTTTATGAAAATGTATGCACATAACGAATTTCATTTGATTCCATCAAAAAATCTGGTTTTTAGAGCGTTTACAAGCAAATGTTGATAGACGGACGGAACTTCGTTTCATGAATATGTATGCGTAAACCGAATTTCATTTGATTCCTTCAAACACTCTAGTTTTTAGAATGTTTACGAGCAATTGATGTTGATAGACGTTACTGTATAGAGGTTAAAGGGCGATAACTCCTCAAAACTGGCGTAAGAGGCCTAAATCTTGAAAAAGCCTTAAATTAAATCAGAAGTAAACTAAACTTTCGATTTAGGTCCAATAACATCCATTTTAAGTTTTATGAAAACTTCGGTTGAAAACTAAGAGAGTAATAGCATATTCAAGATTTTGGGGCAAGGGCAATAACTCTGCTTCTAACAGTTGAAAATAGCTCAAATTCAAACTTGATCTTCGTTTTATGAATATCTGTACACATATTGATTCCATCAGAAACTCTAGTTTTTAGAGCGTTTACAAGCAAATGTTGACTGACAGACCGACGGACGGACAGGGGTGCCAACAATATACGTCCACATAGAGAGATGTGGGCGTATAAAAATCAAAGACTCTTATAGTAGAAAATCGTAGAATGAATATGAAACAAAGTCAACAGACACGACAACAGAAAGTATGACTGCAATGTACACTCTAATTGTGTGGGCTTAACTAGTATAATGCTGGTCCTTGCAAAATTTCAGTCCTTGATACACAACTTGGCATTATCAAGAAAGGGTGATTATCCCCATTTCACTTTACACTACTCAACACCAATTTAAAGTTTTAAGCTTTAATACATCTATTTTCTTCCCTTCTCTTTAAAGTTTTGTTTTTTTCCACTAAAATTGTTAATTTTCCTGAATTTATTTGCTTTATTCAGATTAGGTTTGACTGCATTCTGTTTAGGAAATTTGTTTCTGTTATGTACTATTTTGTTTTTATGTTGGATAAATTTAGATGTTGATCCTCCTTCTTCCTCTTTCTGTCTATCACTGTCTGGTAAACCAAAGGGTATTTCTTCTATCTTAGATACAGCTGAAATGTAAATTAAATTAAACAATTAATTTTTTTCAAAAAAGAATTTGGGGCTCAGACCCTTATGTGACGTTTACGCCCATGGCGCTTCCAAATTGAGAATCACAGCCCTGAAAGCTTTCCCACCATTACTCTGTCTGCCCCTACTTTACCCCCAATTCCAGTTGGCTGCCACTGCCACAAAATATATCTTACCATCTTTAGGAATTTTATCTGAGATTTTCTTCAATTTACAAACAAAGAATCCATCCAAATTATGTGTATGAGGATAAAATCTTCTCGCCAATTTTAAACTGGGATGAAATCTGTGTTGTCTGAAACTAAAAACCAAAAATATCCGGGAGTGAAATTAACAGTAGAAAATTAAGAAAGATATCTTTCCAGGCAAGGTAACATACGCCCACTACCAGCTGTCAGAAATGATAACAAAGTCTGTAATGGTTTAATACGTGAAACCAATCATCCAATTTCAAGCTTTAATAAGGTCTCATACCAAGTTTCATCAAGATCGGATAAAAAAAGTCTCAATCAGGCCTACAAGCCAAATTAGACACATTGAACTAATTCAAGGGCAATAACTTCAAAACAGTTCATCCGATTGTTACCAATTTTTAACTTTAGATCTTGTCCATATATACATGCATACCAAGTTTGATTTAAACAATATTTATTTCATTTAGCAGTGCAATACAAATTATAGAACGATATGAAATGACGATACAGAAACAAGCTGGTAGCGTATGTTAATCTGCTTCCCCTGTATTCACAGTTACAAATATAATATATAAAAAGTATAACGGTAACGAGGCAAGATAAATAAATATACAAAGATATAAAGAGAGAAGTTCAGTTATCAAATAGAAGCTGATGTGCGTCGAACAGGTTCGTTGGTTTAATGTGAATCATCAGTATAAAGCGTTTAAGGTTTGGGGTTTGGGGTACATACCATGTTTTATAAGGTAAAATAACTTTGATTAGTCAAAGCGTTTAGTAAGATTAAAGAATTTGTGGACTGTATTAACTATTTATTCGTTTTCATCTTTACTAACATGTGTATTTCCATAAAGAAGAGTTCTAATGTCCTGAAAACAGGGAGGGAGAAGTCTGATAGTAATTTGTCTAGGGTTTATGAAATTCGAGCAATATAGAAGGAAATGTTCTGAATCTTCATAGTGGTGACCACACGAACAGGATGGGTTATCGGAGATGTGCATCAAGAATCTATCAAGTTTCATCGAGATCAGATAAAAACTGCACCCTGTATCATGACTATAAGCCAAATTTGAAGCATTTTTACTAAGTCAAAGGCAGTAACTCCAAAACCGTTAAACCGATTAAGACCATATTCAAACTTGACCGAGGCCAACATCGGATAAAAACTGTAGTCTACGGAGTGATTTCAAGCAGTATTTCACGTGTTTGAGATAATCGGTTAACCATCAACTTTATAAGAAGTAAAAAGAGAGCAATTTTGACAAAAATTTCGTCACTACATGAGTCTTTAAGCTGTTTTCTTTAGTAAATAAACATCTTTATTGATTGAATAATTGAGGTTAATAAATCAAGGGTATCAATTATCAAAACACTATTACTTTTTATTAACTCTCCTCTAATTGTTTGTTTCTTCTTGCCTGTCAATCAGCTTCAAGCTTATTAATATTCATGAGTACGGATTCATCGAGACAATAGTTTTAAACCAGTTGTGGAACCATTACACTGATTTGCGGGAACTCCAATGAGATACACTCATTACACAGACACCACAACTGGTATAAAAACCTTTGATCTGTTAGAGACTGTAGCAATGAGTGACAATGGCGCCAGTCCGTCTGAACTCTGTTAGGCCCGCTCGTAATGGGTTGTTTGGTATCTGTCGATTTGTACCGACAATTCGCGGGGAACTAGCCAAAATCTTCCTGGGTATTCATTTACACTTACTCTAGTTTAGTTAACGAACTAAGTTAGTCGAACTATTAATCGGGCATACAAAGCAAATTTAACGCATTTTTACTAAGTCAAGGGCAATAACTCTGAAACCATTCATCCCATTATTACCAATTTTGAACTTGACCCGAGATCTCATCAATATATACATAAGTATATTTCATTAAGATCAGATAAAAGCTGTAGCCTCTATCGAGCATACAACAAATGTGGACTGACGGACAGGGGCGACAGCAATAAAAGTCCACATTTCCGTGGAGGTATAAAAACTGGTTCCTTAAAGATATCATGAAATTTGTATAAGAAAAAATATAACCTTGAAAAATGATGCACAAAAATATGCCCGGGGTAAAAAAAATACCCCATTGGACCACTAAAACTTCATATATACTACATCTTAATAGGCTCAATGGACATATCAATTAAATCAGCTTTGGATCATCTAAATTCTTTTACTATTACCTGCATTATGTAATACAGTAGTTTAATACTTACTTTACAAATCCTTCAACACCAAAATCTAATCCAGCAGGAACAAGTTTAACATTTCTTTTCTTCAGAGCATAGTCAATTACCCACTCATTTTCCTCTATCTATAAACAAAAATATTGTTTATTTAATAATAAGTTCTGTATTTATATCAATTAAGCCTAGCTAAAATTACCACCTCAGCAAGTAAGCAGAAACAGAGAAATAAAAGATGGTCTTAAGCTCCACAATTTGCATACATGTAGTTTTCCTGACAACTTTTCATTCGCCCACATGAATATGTGGTTGTATATTGTCGTCACCCCTGTCCGTCAACATTTCTTGTGAGCACTATAGAGACTACAGTTTTCATCTGATTGTTCAAAACTAGGTGTGATGCTTTAGATTGATAAAATCTCGGTCAATTTTGAATTTGACATTTTCGATGAATGGTTTTTGACATATCTCTTGACTTTGTTAAAACGCGTTGAAATTTGTTAAAAAAAGTTCGTGAGCAGGATTGAAGCTACAGTTTCCAACCGATTCTGATGAAACTTGACGCATTTTTGATGAACGGTTTTTGTGTTATTGCCCTAGACTTAAGAAAAACGCATCAACTACAGTTTTCATCCGATTTGAATGAAATTTGGTGTGATGATTTACATTCATGAGATTTTGGCCAAGTTCAAATTTGACGATTTTTTGTTGAATGGTTTTTGAGTTATTGCCCTTGACTTAGGAAAAACGCGTCAGAATTTGTTTCAAAGTCTTGTTTTGGTCTACACTACAAGACCAAGATTGCGTAGTCTCATACATAACAAGACCAATATCTTCCCCTACTAAGTTTACTGGACAAATTGTGTTCTGGAATATCCATTTCCACATATCCACATTTTATGTGACTGTAAAGGGATCTTGCTAATATGGTAAATAATTTTAATTATCCAGTAGAATAGATAAAATTAAATGATCAACTTACAGTAACAGAACAAGTACAATATACAACATAACCACCAGTTTTAGATTTAGCTGAACAACTATCTATAGCTGATAATAATAATGCTTTCTGTATCATTGCACACTTTGTTATATCTTCATGGGTCTAAATATATGATATGAATTACATCATAAACAAAATATAGGAATATTGGTCTTAATGATTATCATGTTGCTCAATAGCTGGGTCACTTGTGTGAAAAGTAAAATGAGAACCACATCACCCAAATTAACTGTATAATATTGCCATTATATACCAGCTTACCATATCATTCAATTCAAATCAAAGTAACCATATGATACATTTCATTACAATTTAAATACCTTGTTGACTTTAACTTCAGGATCTTTAGAAATAACACCTGTTCCAGAACAAGGTGCATCTAACAGTACTCTATCAAATCCCTTAGTTAACTGTGAAAAACAAAAACAAAGGTTACATCATTCAGGCTATTAATTACATGTTAAAGGGATTTCGGCAGTTTTCTTGTTTGTGCAGTATCAATGCTTATTATGCACCATTTTGATTACCTGTCTGACGTTTGACTCAAAATAACAATATTGTTTATTATCAGGAGACCTTGCTTCAACATTTCATCAAGGGACTTATCCAACTCATAAACAGAAGATTTATAAAACTTAGAGAAAATTGAAACCATACCATGTACAAAAAAACCTCTAATACAATAAAATAAAGTTAGGATGAATTACCTCATGAAAACCTCTACCATCATATGAACATACAACTGTATTGATTACTCCCATACGATGTAAATTACCTACTACAGCTTTAGCTCTCTCAGCACTGGCATCATTAGCTACTAATAAACCTGTATTTCGCATTAGTCCAGCTGAAATAATTAGAATTGCAAGGATTAGAGTATGGAATGATCTATCCATCATATGGTATGAATAGATAGAAATGGTGGTGTTATACTCAATATGCTAGAAACTTTGTATATTGATGTTTTGCAATCTATTGATTTGTATGTATAAGAGAAACTAAAATTTACCTATATGAGAAGTTTTACCACCTGGAGCTGAGCACATATCTAATATTTTTTCATTTTCTTGTGGTGCAAGGGCCATAACTGGTAGGAAACTGGCACCACCTTGAATCAAATAATGACCAGCTAAATATTCTGGTGTAGCTCCTAAAATACAAAATAATTTTTAAAAAAATTACGGATTCCTAAAATACCTTAAAATATACAACTGATATAGAACTGGTTTTTCATATGCTTCAAAATGTCTAATGAAGAGTGACAGATTTATGAAGAGTTTATCTTTAGAGACTATCTGCAAGAAAAAGATTTGTTGTTTGAAGATCTATATATCTAGCAATAATTTTCTTTACATACTTGATATAAATTAATACCAGTTACACCTTACCTAATGGTACTTGAGAATCATAAACAACTAAACCAACTTTTGACCATTTACCAATAGGATCTAAATTTACACCTCGGTTGATTAATGCCTGAATAAGAATGATATATGTAAATATTTTTTTCAAGTTTGTGTGTCTGCTAGTTGATGCTGGAACAGTTCTCTGCAGCTTTAGAGATTAGTTCATTGTATACATGTATTAAGATAGCTTGAAAGGCAAGGTATTATACACCCACTGGCAGCTTTGATTTTGAATAAAAATATTTAGCAGTACAGTAACAATCACCAGTTTGAAATCACCTTCAGTCATACACTTCTTTTCAACTCTTTAGGGTGATACTGAATAACATTGAGGAGTTATTGCCCAAGTTCTTGAAAACATGTTCAATTTTAGCTCGTCTATATATGAGCCTTGTAAAGTGTTTACGAGCAATTGTGGACGGACTGAAGGACCGACTGAGGGACGGACGAATGGACATGGGTGACGACAATATACGCCCCCATTTAATGTGGGCATATAAAAATGACAATTTCACATCTCCTAATGGACTAAGGGCTGATGCTCACAATTTTCTTGCTGTACAATAAAGAACAATAAATATACCTGTGCTAAATCCCTTCTCCTTGTTTTTAAAGTATTTGTACGAATTGTTACAGGTCTCTGTACTTCATTAGCTTCTAAAAATTCTTTGATCTGTTAAAATACATTGGAAAATCATTGACAACAGAAAACTTTAACTGTCATAAAACAACAAAGAACTGTTTAGATTCAATCAAATTAAAAAGCAGAACTACATTCAACTTGCCATGCATAATCTGAGAAAATTATTAGGTCAATAAAATATATAAAATGCATTGTTGAAAAATTAGCTTCGATCAGCTGACAAATCAGTAAATACTAGGAAAACAAAACATCAAAAAATCTCAATTTTGATCAGATTGGTCTCAATATGACAGTGAAAGAGTTTTGTTTCTTGGCAGTAAATATCAAAGATCAATAACTGATAGAATTGAAGTAAATCGTTTACCTCTAGTGGAAATAGATGTAAAAATTTATCCATCAAATAGTCATTGTAATTATAATATGTACATAAATCTTTCTTTAATTGTCGAACATATTCTGGTCTACTTCTGCAATAAAAACAATCATTTCACCATTAGTCTTTATTTAATTCCCGATTACACCTTTGATATAAATAAGGTAACGGTGCCCTGTAAATCGGAGCACATTGTCCTTTTCTAATTTATATGGGTAGTGTAGCTAACTCAAACTACTAACCTGCCTTCTTCTCTTCTTTTTCTAAAATCACCTAATACTTCCATTACATCAGATATTCTTTGATTTAATAAAGTTAAATCAGGAGCTTGATTAGGTCAAACACAGTTAAGGAAAAATATTCAATCTATTAGGGCATCTTGATATTAATGACAATATCAATAAGAAGGTGTAACTATGGTACTGCTTCATATGAGGTGGTGAAGTTTTGAAAACCATCAGACATCATGAATAATTATGTCTCTATTGTAGGGTTTACCTACAAAACACGGTAGAAACAAAGAAGTAGTTGGATAGGTGATGGAGTTTCAGATACTAAATACATGCAAAGATAGCTTGCGTTGCAAGGTAACATACGCCCACTGGCAGCTGTCAGAAAAAATAAAACAGTCTTTAGTGACTAAAGTAGGAATTTTCTCATATTGAAGAAATTATTCATGCTGAATAATTCCACAAAATTTTTTAAAATCAATATCAACAACCCAAATACAACAAACAATTAAATCACACAGTTCTAATCAAGGGAAAAAAACAACTTTTGACGCAAGTTTACAAAGTCAAGAAAATGAAATGAAATGGAGTTTTACGTCCTACTTTTCTGCACCATGTGGGCTAATGAAGACGGGCAACACCATGCAGGGTGCAATGAGGGAAATTTTGCCAGGACAGCGGCATTAGCCTGCTCTTTTTCGATCACACCAAGTTTCATCAGAATCGGTTGAAAACTGTAGCTTCTATTGTGCTCACAAACAAATTTTGACGCGTTTTTTGTAAGTTAAAGGCATTAACTCAAAAACATTTTATCGAAAATGCGTCAAGTTAGAACTTGTCCGAGATCTTATCAATTCCAATGATCACACTAAGTTTCATCAGAATCGGTTGAAAATTGTAGCTTCAATCCTGCTCACGAACTATTTTTAACAAATTTCGACGCGTTTTAACAAAGACAAGGGCAATAACTCAAAAACCGTTCATCGAAAATGCGTCAAGTTAGAACTTGTCCAAGATCTTATCAATTCCAATGATCACACCAAGTTTCATCAGAATCAGTTGAAAACTGTAGCTTCAATCCTGCTCACGAACTATTTTTAACAAGTTTTGACGCGTTTTAACAAAGTCAAGGGCAATAACTCAAAAACCGTTCATCGAAAATGCGTCAAGTTAGAACCTGTCCGAGATCTTATGAAATCAAATGATCACACCAGGTTTCATCAGAATCGGATGAAATCTGTAGCTTCAATCCTGCTCACAAACAATTTTTAACAAATTTCAAGGCGTTCTAAGTCAAGGGCAATATCTAAAAAACCATTCATCGAAAATATGTCAAATTCGAACATGACCGAGATCTTATCAATCTAAAGCATCACACCAAGTTTTATCAAAATCAGATAAAAACTGTAGTCTCTATAGTGCTCACAATAAATGTTGACCGACCGACGGACAGGGGCAACGACAATATACGACCACATTCATGTGGGCGTATAATAAAAACTGTAGTCTATAAAGTGTTCACAAGAAATGTTGACTGACGGACCAACGGACAGGGGCGACGACAATATACGACCATATATTCATATGGGAGTATAAAAATGAACTACTGTAAGTAAGTCATCAATCACCTAACACAAGGGTAAAATAATGTTTTTTTTTAAAAGGATATCATCTTTTTGAATTTCTTGACCACTTGGTAAAATATATTTTTCTGTATTAGCTATATTTGTCTGTATTTCTTTCTCATTCTCTATCCTACAAACAAACATTTAATAAAATTATCAATTGCATTTTATCATTGTTCAATCATTGAGCTGATCTAAGTAAAGAACTACTAAATATTTCCATTTCTGAATTTGTAATTTATAATAGAAAACCTGTATTACATAAGATGTTTTGTTTAAAAAATCAAGGTGAATTTCAGTAAATATACTCCAAGGTTTAAATGGAAATGCAAAACATATCAAAGTAATGTAGCCTCTGTACCTTTCTTTACTTTGTTTTTTAGCTAATTTCTTTGCAGCTCTTTCTACTGGCAACTGAAAAATAATTGATTACATGTAAATGAAATTAAGTAGTGAAATGAACTCTTGCAGATAAATGAGATAAATGGTGTCCTGCTTCAACTTAATGAATATTTAAACCAATTTACCAAATCATTATCTTCTTCATCAACACTGCCATCATCATCATCACTGCCACTGCTGTCATCATCATCAACATCTTGTCTATCGCCATTTCCAATATCAAAATCATCCTTCATTTCATCATCATCATCATCCTGAGAGAATTATACAAACCATAACAATTACACTTAATGTGATACTTGTAGATCAGACAAACTCTTTTAACAAAAAAATATATATATTATATTACATTGGATACCGTACGTGATATTAGTGAAAAGTCAGAAAAAAATTTAATTAATCCATTAATAACCTTGCAGTAATAGACTTACTTCATCTGACATGTTCTCATTGTCATCTGACTCCATTTCTTCCATTTCAAAATCATCATCTAAAATATATCATTTAAATTTTAATGATATCGTACATCATAAGAAAAGAAATGAAATAAATTAGAGTTTCACTAATACGTATATAAGAACAGAAGTACAGTATAAATTTCATGGTAGAACAATTTCTATAAAGTTAGATAACAGACATATTAAAAAGAAATCTGTTTCAGATGGATTAGTACTAACCTTGCTCATCATCGTCATCGTCATCATCATCATCACCTTCAGATCCATAGAATTTCATATTTTTAGATGGCTTTGTCTTGATCAATAATGACTTCGGATTTTTGAGATTTGCTTTTATTTTTTCCTGTTCTTGTTTTTTTTCTGTTCTTTGTCTCAATCTAAATTTCAAAGAAATTTACACTTCATACTTAATTTCAGAGATCAAGATAGTGCTAAAGGGAGAAAACTTTCTAGTGAAATGATGTATGTTCTAACAGCTTAAATATTTGCTGTAGCCCCATCAGTTGTCAGAAAGACAATCCCATCATCTACAATACACTTAATAATATATCATAATAGTATAAATTTCTAGAATTTAAATAATTGGAGTTAACATGGCATTAGCAGTAATGTTTAACATTCTAGAAAGTAGTGTTGATAAGGTTAACCAGTTAACTGATTTCGGGTAGTATTTCACAGGTAACCGGGTCTGATTTGAGATAATCGGTTAACTGTCAATTTTATAAGAAGTAAAAAGAGAGGAAGATTTGTTATTTTTTTATTATTTCAATCGGGTACGAGTTGCTTAGAATAAAACAGTTATAAAGATCATATTACTTTTTATTAACTCTCCACTAATGGGCTGTTTATTTCTTCTTGCCTGTCAATCAGCTTCAAGCTTATTAATATTCATAAGTACGGATTCATTGAGCAGTAGTTTTATATCAGTTGTGGAACCATTACACTGATTCGCGGCGACTTTAATGAGATACACTGACTCCACAACTGGTATAAAAATCTTTGATCAGTTAGGGACTGTAGCAATAAGTGACAATGGCACCAGTCCGTTTCAACTCTGTCAGGCCCGCTCGTAATCTTATATTGCAGCAGATGCTTACTCTAGTTTAGTTAACCCCCGCGGTGAGTTACCCCCGCAAATGCGATTTTTGACTACTTTTATAACCAGGATTAACCGGGTAACAAACTGTTATTGCTGACGATTACCCGGTTCGTAAAATTCACTACCCGTTTCAACACTACTAGAAAGTGATTTTGTTTGTTAGAATTAGCTCTTATCATTATTTAAACCTTTGCTATAATCTTCAAATGTTCTGTCCATACCAGCAATAATTATGTTCTCATAGAAAAAAGAAATTAAATTTGTTATATTTCTCATATTTCCATATGAAATTCAATTTAATTTCCTACATTATAGGAAGCAGAAAGGAAACAGTATCCATAATGTCACCAAGCTTCCTTACATTACGAAATTATATATCACTTTTAACCATCAAGAATAAATTTGATTGAATATTTCAACAGAGAATGAATCTTCTAGACACATACCGGTATATAGATGGTTTTGTCTAGTATTCATCTCATGGGGATATGAAAAAATAAATCATTTATTTCTAAGTATGTGTTTAAGTGGATGTAAACATTGATAAATTGCAGGTTATCTAAGGCAAGCATGCTTTGAAAGACAATGTTCAATAAAAGTTAAAAATATTTACCTCTTTTTAACATGACCACCAAGTTTTTTACCTATGCAAACTTTACCTGTTATATAAAGACAAATATTTACATTAATTACTTATGTACAAGACTGCAGTTTAGTAGGTTTAAAATACAAGTTCAAAGAGTACTATAATAGTTTATCCAATAAAAAGATACTGTACTTAAAGTATTACCCATAACATTGCAGGGTCAAGTCAACCTTGAAACTCTGAACTAATGCAAATTAACAACATACAAAGTCCTTGTTATTGCACATTTCTACTGTACCAGTAGGTCTCCTCTTTTCATTTTCCATACCAGTGATTTCATCTGGGTGGTTTCGCATTTACAACCTAGCTATTTCCCACCCAAAGACTGGTTGGCTAATTTTCTCCAATCATAAACTAATCAAGAAGCTGTTGATTTTCATTTCAATATGTCATCAATCTGCAATCTAACCTGGATAAATTATCAATCTAGTAGAGTCATGATCAAGAAATGCTCTACAATTGAGGATGTACAGAAATTATTCTGAAACATCTGCCACCAGATTGTACAGAAAACCCATGTTTATCAAAACAAACTAATGCTGCGGTCACGCAAGGTCGATTATGTAAATTATTAAACATTTCCGGAAATCCATGAATAATAGGTTTCCACGAAATTAGGTTACATGACTGTACTTATATACAGACAAGTAACCTTATTTCGTGCATTTCCGGAAATGATTAATAATTTACATGTGTGACATATGGAACACAAAGTGGGCCATATTCGTATGTTGTTTTAGTGACTTTTTTTTTTAGCAATCAATCATGCTATGTACAGTGGTGTAACCTATTTTCGTGGATATAAGAATTCAACACCGAATTTCGTCAAAGTTAAAAAAATGAAATTTTTTTTTTTATGTCTTAGATGTTT